TGTTCGTATACCTCGAATAAGTGAAGATTGCAAATTAACACTTCTCTCTCGTGTGTGGCTCTTAGTTGACCCATTTTATTTCTCGAATAAAAGGAAAATATACTTAACGAGGTAAAAAAATATTGATGTGCTTTAATTATCCTGCTGGAAAATTAATTAACCTAGTTTCGGAACATTTAGTAATAAGTAAAACCATTGTTGGAAATATCCGAGTTCGAATTTGCACAATAATACAAGGATTAATAAAAGAGGTAACTGGAAATAACTCATTTATTCGTTAGGTACGTTACCAATATGTTCGCAAATGTACTTGTGCATATTTTACGTTGCTCGATCTATAAAATGCAAGAATTCGCGTGATACTAATCATCCAATTTCGTAAATCATTATGGACGTTTAAAAAATAATATCTACTGATAATTTATTTTTATCTTTATTGACCAGATTGTATTGTATTGCTCGTAAATTTCAATATATTTATATTCACTTAAGGAACAGATTTATACGAATCTTTCGCGTGACGTGTAACAGATTTCACGTGGTGAACTTTAATACAATATTTATCTCCCTTCTCCGATCTTATCTTTCATTCTTTGCTTTAGGACATCTTTGCTGTCTTTCCTTCAATTTATACAGACCGGTAGGGACGCTAAACGAACGAACTAAACGTCGAGTTTTTGTGTGTCTATATATGTACAGACATTGTCTCCCTGCTGTCTGATTGCGTTTACACGTGACCGGGGTCACGTTGAGAACGAAGAAGAAGACCGAAGAACGCGTGGGTGGCCGAGGGCGAGATCGGACTTTTCATCTTTTATAATTAATTTCGAGCAAATTTGTCAGCTTTTTAAGATAATCTTCATCAAGATAACCCTAAGCCATTTTCCGTTAGTGATTAAATTAACTTTATTAATTTTCTTTTACCCGAAGTTTTACATTTCTGTTTTTCCTTCGATCACACACAATATGCTAATAAGAAATTAATCCTGCAAACTGATAGTTCAATCACACACTTTGTTGCCACGAAAAACACGCAGTTTTCATTGTACTTCAACAACACTCCAAATGAAATTAAAAGAAATTTTTACAATGCAAGATATTTTACATGTATCTCTTTTAAAGATATTTAAGGAATTGAAAATCTTTAGATATTTAAAGACATTTAAAGATATCATTGTAATACATGGCTATATTGTGGTAACGTTTATCGTGCTTTAGAAACATATAGGAACGACTGGAACGCGGTATCTATCACGCCCGAACATAATAATTATCATTATGCGTCAATGACATAAATTATTACATTTAACATCCCCGATTATGTTAAGTCAATTATTTCGTTCGCGCAGGTTTATTTCGTTGAACGATAACGCAATTTCGATAATCTACGGCGGGCATCAAAGCGACGCACACGGCGCAGTCATTACGCGTTGGCGTCTCCGCGCGAAGACAATGCGGAGATGAGGGTCTCTTAGCGCACCGCATTATACACGCCTCGTCGACGAACTCATTAAAGCCACCGACCGCGCCACGTAACTGGAACCCGGAATAACCCCATTCGAAAACTCGAGGGGGATGCACGCTTCTCTTTCTCGCTCAGAATAATCGTTTAGGATTTGCAGTCAGTTAGTATATATATCTATAATCGTTTGGATCGTGCAATCTTGCAATAATTTATGTAACGACACTGATACAATTGGAAGAATAATTTGTTAATAATGAATAACTTGTCGATGATCCATTTCTTCTGTTTTTCTCTTTTAAACTTTTGCCGACGTGTTAAAATTATGCTACTTTAAAAACACAGCATTCGAATATTAATCAATGTTTGATAGATGCACATTGTTATAGAATATAGATCTATATTAATTTCTCTCTTTCTCTCTCTCTCTCTCTCTCTCTCTCTCTTTCTCTTTCTCTTTCTCGAAATTAACGATTATAACATAATTAAGTGACGTATATGCGCATGTGTTACAGTATTTTTTTAAATTAAAAGAATATTCTCGAGGGTTAACAACAACACGTTAGAAAAAGGAGGATATTTATAAAGTTATTGACAGCTACGGATATTACACTGAAAAAAGCCGCGTGGACTCTGAGGCAGCAACTCTTTTTTCAGGAGCTGAGAGATTTTTTTTTTATTAATACAGTGACTAGTCTTACCTATATACTTCTATACTTCTTCGTCATATGTTTAAAAATCTATAAAAATTCTTTTATTTTTATCCTATCATATTTTTTTTCATTCATAACTTCATCGCCCTTAATTAATATTCTATCATCTCAAATTGTGGCTCGAGGATATAAACCCGATATTGGTGGCCGAGATTGAATTTCTCGTTTACTCGCATACGATGTTTACCGCATACAATGAGATAACAAATAATATATTATATATTACATACGCTAAGATATATTTTATTACCATCACATATCTATGTTACACGCGAATTGAATACAATAGATTACCGATACATTAATCTGCTTTTGAACCAATTTAGCCTTATCGGTATTTTTATCTGCGGACATGTGCTTCTGAATTCCTGTTTTAGCTGACCTATAAATACGTAGATAAGAATATCGTGTGGGGTAAACAGATTTGAGATACCGAAGTGATATTTTAACTTCCTCTCAGCGAGATATAAAAATTTTGATGCGTAACATCTTGATGCGTAAGCTTTGTCAGTGAATCACTACAATTCAGTAAGATGCCATATTTCGAATGTTCCATTCAATAGAATAACAGATGTTCATGAATTCCCTACTACCTTATTTTTATCTCTTCGTACCTTTCCCTATATATTATTCTAATGTATATTCCTTCTGTGTTGCTTTTCACTTTGCCGAAGCCACCGAAGTGAATAACCGAGGGCAATAGCGAATGAGTCAACGGACCCACAAAGCAAAGGTGTCAGCGAGAAGTGTTCGAGTGAATGCATATCCAATTACAGTACTGTGCCCGGTCAGGCGATCTTTGAGAAGCTGAACTTCTAAACCGATCGACTTACCTAATTTCTCTCGGCTTTAATGAGTTGGTTTCACCCTTCCAACCGATGAGACGGTCGGTTTATCCCATTAATCGGGCTTAGTAGAGAAATCCTATATCTAATAGAATAGGTAATGGCATTTTACAAGGTTATAGGTGCAACGACAAAAGCGAAAAAACTCCGTCGTGACAGGGCTGAAAACGTTTAAATGCGTTTCGAGATGCGTTCGACTATAAATATCGAGATGAATCGTTCGAGTGCATTGGCCTAAATACTGAGCCGCGTCACTGATGCATGGCGGACCGAGCATAGAGCTGCATCACTGACGGGACACGCCGCGGCTTAAATATCGAACGGAAAAAATTACACGGGACTGAAAGCGTTAATGAATGGTGATGATAACAAGGGTTCGCAAAAATGCCCTCGTTGCATGCGACGCTAATAACACCAGTCCTGTATAACGCTGCTGGCGAATTCGCATAAAAAATAAAAAGCGGAAGAGAAAACGCTCGGAGGCGAAGTGAATATAAAGCGGCTGGATGCTGCCGCTCTCTCCGGCCGTGCTTTTCATCGAGCTGGTAAAAGTAATTTCATTGCGGACATTGCTATACAGGATATAAAGTTACGTACATCCGGATACTTCCGGCAATGAGAGCGACTTTAAGACGAGCGCTTTGCTTCCCACGTTTTATACGGTACGCAACGCGATAAGAGCGTAGGAGAAGAAGAAAAAAGAAACGGAAAAACGTTTCAATGCGTTGAAACGTCCCTTGCTGTGAAAAGAACGGAAGCGTAAAAATGGACTTTAATACGCCCCTTCGTCGTGCTGTTCGTCAGCGCCGCGATAAAAAAAAAATTAATGCAGCTCAGAAAAACAAAAAAATCCGAGCTGCATTTTTTTTCCCATTTGCATGTTCAATTGTCAGAATGCCATTTTAAACGTAATTTGTATTACATATTAAATATTATATTATTGTTCACACCATTGTTCCGGGACAACGCATCTCATAAGCATATACTTTCGGCTTTACCTTTTCATTGTTCCCTTTTTCCACACGAATTCGTGGGAAGATAATTTTATTATGTAAAAATGCGTTATGCATCGTGACAACGCAGTTGTAGACGTAGTGAAATGTACAGTATAAATGGATCCCACGTTGATGTCCCGGCGCTCGCGCCGGGATTAATTAGTCATGGAAATAATAATTTACCTCGTCATCCGCAAGTAATTATACAATTATGCGGTTATTTATAAATGAGTAGAATTAATCAATTGCTCGGATAACGCTTTGGAACGGAGAACTTGCCGTAATATATTTTCATAATCCCAACACGGAAGCCGGCTAATCGCCTTTAGCACTCACGCGTATTACCTGGACGCAACTTCCGCCTGATAATGTCTAATATATATACGCACGTCGGTCGGTGTGTCAAATGCAGATCGATCATGAGCAAAAGCACAGGCATGCAAAAATACAATCGTGCGAGGTGCGTGCAAAAATTTCGCATACCATTTACAAATGAAAAAAATATCTTGAAACAAGGAGAATAGAAATATTATGGAATGGATAAAAAAATAGGTATTATTTGCAAGTTTGCTTGTTAAAAAGTTTAGCATGCGCAAAAATAACTCGGCTGCATTTTCAGGAATAAAATAATATAACAAGAACACGCGTATTATATATATATTTTCTACAATTACAATATATTACATATAAAAAAATATAGATCATATTTTTCTCATTTTAGAAAGAGAAACAAAGTTGTAAAAATAACTTTCTTCCATGTGTAAAAATTAAATTATATAAGAAATATCTGAAACTATTTAAACCACGTATTTAAGCATTAAAATGTGCGTGATTCATTATCACCGGCTTATTACTATCTCGCTCTTGTACAGAATAAAACGTTAGATATGTATATATTACATGCAGTTGAAATACATTTGCTGTAATGGAACATGCGCTTTTCTTAAGTAAGAAGCGAAGAAACAAACCGCTAGGCGGAACTCACCGTCGTTGTTGGTCCGTGCGCGAGGTGGGGATGAGCTGACGGTCGGAAAATTTCTCGAGACATTGTCCCGCGGTGGCGGCTGCGGTCCTTCGAGGTTTGGACTGGGGCTGAATTCGGCCCTGAAGTCCGCCCTGTCGAATCCTTCCTCGAACTCGTGCATCAGCGCCAACTCGTCCGCCTCGACCTCGCCCTCGAATTGCTCCCGTAGCACCGATCTCGGAACTGCGGAATGGAAAAAGGGAGTTCGAAGTCTGCTCGCTGTGTAATGGACTCCATCAGCAACACATCAAATATACATAGAGGAACGTCGTTTTGTACAAGATTTGCCGATATAAGGAAAGAATCCGTCGACGACGACAGTCAACGATAAAATCATTTCCGCGTCGGTATTGGTTTCCGTTAAAAGCCTGCGATTGAAATTTGAGACGGAAAGTGCATGTTTCATGAGCAAAAAAATTACGTAAAACGAGAAAAAATCCGGATTCGACCATACTTTCCCGCTCGTAATTATTTAATGATACGCGAGTATAGGTACACTTAATTCCGCGTTTTATGTGACATCGCGGCAAGATGCTGCGACGAGCAGGCTGGATTTTATTATATTCAACGACTCATTTACGAGTGCGAGTGCGAATGCGGAAAATGCGAAATCATTCGAACATTCGAATGCATCCTTACCTCTCAAGAATTCCCGTGGCATTCTATTCCGCGTATTCTGCGCGCGCTGCATTCGCGTCGAGCTAAGTTCGCACGAATTTATGCGATGGCTTCCAGAGCGTTCGTTCTAAATGCACGTAAAAGCACGCGGATGAGCGTCAATCGCGCATCAAAATGTAAAACGTTAACGTTATGCGCGATGGCAAATAAATCCACTTCAAGATATGTGGGCGCAGTCGGCTAATATCTGGCCAGCAATAACGTTGCATTTGCGTTACGCGTGCGCGCACGTTGTGTATCGAATCGGAATGAAATGCTACCGATCGTTGTAAGTGATACGCAATCGTTATCGTTATCGCGCTTACACGGTGCTGTCCATTTTTCATCGCACGTGTGGCGTCGCCGCGCTTGCAATAAACCTCACGGCCCCGCTAGGAGTATGCTCGTGAATTTGCGACGTGAAATAGTTTCGTTGCGATCGCGAAATAACATTTCGAGGTAAAATGTAAAGATATATGTGATATTTTGAGAAACGACGCCGATCGATCGAGAATTTTGCAAGAGCGGCAATCGTGGATGGCGATCACAAAATCTATATACATATATGCCCAAATGTAGCGCAAATCTAACTCATGGTATTGGTTTAAATTTCATCCTCTAACTTTCAACAGTGCCCATCTAATATTTTGTACATTTTTTCTAAAATAAAATTAAAAGCTCGATATTTTAAATTTCTATCCAGTCTCGTATATTTATTTTCTCTCCTAAGAGAGTCCCAGGCTTCTAAGAGAGAGAGAGCCAGGTCTTCCAAGATAGCCCAAGAAAATTTCTTCAGGCTGATTAGCTAAGAACGTCAGTCAGTAAATAAACTTGCAAGATATTCACCGAGACACTCTGCGTGAGGAGAACACGGCTAAACTCTTGGCAAAATCTTGCTAGCCTCGCTTTAAAATAATTTCCATCATTTCGCCGGAAAATTTCCGCATGATAATCTAGAAGCGCGCACAGCACCCGCGGGCCCGTTCACCGAATTAAAGGCAAATGACGCGACTACATAAGCGAGTGAGCCGGCGCGGACGACGATGTAGCTTGTTTACTGCAATTAATAATTGTAATTTAACACCAATTCTGCGGCAGTACATGCTGCCGCAACGAGTTATACCCGGTCTTGGCGCCTGGCGCCCGGCGCCCTGCGCGCTCGGCGCGTTCGTGCGCGCGGAACGCTCATGACGCTTTAAACCGAGCGAATACATTATGACCCGCGTCCACGTATAATGGAACGGAGAAAATGCGGAGGGCGGAGAAGAGATGCGGTTGAGCTACCACCGCTATTGCCACCTAGTGCAACATTATGCGCGAAGTATTGTGGAAAAATATCATTTTCCCGACCATTCTACCGCAAAAAGGTATTCAAGCGTTATATTATTCAATAGTAACAATAACATTCGGGCAGAAAGCAATTTCAAAATTAATACCACACTATCGAGTAGATTTGTTCATATAATATCAAAATTAATTTTTACGTTGGAATTTTATATATTAAAACATAAAAATGTATATTGCTTCGTATATTTATATTCCTTTGAATATTTAATTACTTTAAAAACTCTAGTAAATTAAAAATTGATAATGCATATTTATGTGAACTGCGTTTCATCACTTTCATTAATTTAAGAACGGTTTAAAACTTTTTAAGATAAATCAAACTTTTTATGCGAGAAAAAGCTCAAAAACTAATAATATCCTATTAATTAATTATATCACGCGATTCCAACTTGATGTACTTAATTTTTTTTTTTACTTAGATCATTAATTTATAAAGAAATAACAGAATTTTCGTTGCTAAAGTATAAGAATGCTAAAGAACACAGTAATGACGCATACAGATGAGGTGTAGCTTACTCGTGGCAATTAATTACAGTAATTTAACACCAATTTCGCGGTACAGCTTGCCGTAAATGCGGGTTAAATTTACTTTGAGTCGGTACACCGATGCTTTAATCTGTGTGTGGATATATTAGAACCCCACCACAAGCGAGAATAATATAACAAAGGAAATACTCCGGCAAGATGCGCCATTGCAGGTGCCATGCACGCAAATTGATGAAATAATTACTTATCGCATGATCGTCGAATTATTGTGTCGATAGTTACTGGCGTTGTCTTACACACCATACCTATGACTTGTGAAAATTATTTGACTTTTATTACAGCGATATGTCAGTCTTCTTGATAGCCAAGAATGAGTTAGATCAGTATCAGGAATACCGAAGCTCGTTAGCGCATACCGTAGTTATCATTAGCTTAACGTAGGTCGTCATAATAACGTTGCGCTGCCTCGCTCATCGGCCGGGATACAGGATAGAGGATGTTAGCCACGGTCAGCAGCAATAATAATGAGAACCAGCAATTTGCGACGTGCGAGGCTTTTACCACTTCGCTGCTCTCTTGAGGGAGCATTAATTTATTATGCTGAAATTGTCATACCTGTGTGTATAGATCATACTCGCATTCATGCTCGCATTCATAATAAAATGTTGGCATGTACAAATGCACATATAAATTAACCGCGAGTATTTAATATCACGCTTATGAAACTCTGCCCTCTGTCTCTCATTTCTTCTTCTATTTCAATATTCATCAAGTAACGTAATATTCTTAAATGGTGGAAAAATTGTGGAATTAAATTGATAACCGTATGTGTGTGTATGTGTATATACATATATATATTGTTTTACATTATTTCGCGGAACATCAATTGGAAGGTAATGACGTTCTATATTAATCCCTAATCTCGATTTTGTAAAAAATTATTAAATCAAGATTTAACTGTTCATATTATTGAAGAACAAAACCCGCAAAAAGTTGCCGATTATCCTCATATTGACGCAAATTGGGTTTAATTGACTACGTTCCGTCTCACTATAGTTCGTGAATCACAACGTTCGTCTCGTTAAATCGGGAGGTCGCAGCGGTAAAGCCTTCAATGAGTCCATCGTGGAGACGGCTGGAATAAGGGCGGAAGGGGCTTGGATAGCAATAATTGTTCCCCGAAGTCCCATCAAGGAGATATATCGTATGGACCTTGGCAAGGCTAGAGACATCCTAAATTTTGCAAGTCTCTGCGTCGCGACGCGCTAATAAGACCTCTGTAATGCACGAGAGGTTCTCTCAATCTTGCTTGACGCGAAAGGGGGCCCATGTAAGTCGACGGAACGATGAAAGGAATTTTGAGATCAGTTTAAGCTCCGCTACGAGCCACTCGTCGACAGAGAAGCCAGAAGTGGTACAAGTGGCAGCGAGATGCAGATTTACATGGAAATGTCTTCCATCTGAACGACTTTTCATTTTCGACGTCTGAGTACTGTACAAGGGATCATCAACTGTTCCCTCTTTGCAGCTAAGGTGTTGAAAACTTGATCGAAAACTTCAGTAAATTTAATCACGCGACAAACTGTGCGCCTAACAAATCGAGCACATTCATATTATATCAGAGACATTTAATTGCGTACAATAATATCGAACAAGAGAGTAAAATTAAACGGGGAAACGAATTTTTAAAACTATAAAAACGTAGCAAGAAAATCCATTTTTGAAAAAAATTGAGCGGATATTTTTGCCAGGATATCTATTTTTTGTTGTTTATTTTCACGCAAAAAGTCGACGCGCTCAGTATAAATGTATTAAAGCAAAATAGAATGGCGTTGCATGCTATTGGAAAAAAAATTTATCACAAATTGAAAGCGATATGTTATATGTATACGACATTGTTAAGCCAAATGCCGAACAGTTTTCTTCGCAGAATTTAAATTCCAAAGAGCCTGTATTAACGTCCTCGGTATTTAAAATTTCCAGATTAAATATCTCAACAATTATAGCTTCAATTAAATTTTCCTCAAGTTAAAGTCCACTACAGTCTAATTGGAAGCTAAGCTTTCTTTCCGCTGAAACTTAAGTAACTCGCTAATTAAGACATGGATAAGATTTTCCTCAAGAGGAAAACAAAACATCGAACTTAGAAAAAACCTGCTGCTGGTTTGAAAGCGAAGGTACGCAATAAAATGTAACGATATAACTTTTTAACTGAATAATGTAATAAAAACATCCTAATTACTTCTAAAGAAATTTTTACTGTTTTTTTTCTTCTTACTTTAAAGGGTTTACATTTTCCAAAATAAAAAATTGCAGTAAGTACTCGTTATAATGATCGCTTTACACCATGTACTCCGCGGGTTTTTTTTACGAGCGCTAAATGCAACACACTCATTATTGCAATGAGCCCCCTCGAGGTATTTCTCCGTTGTTCGCGGCGTATCTGTTACGGACACCGAACGTATTCAGCGAAATCGGATCGGTATTATACGAGACGACGCCTGGTAACGGCACGCCACTGATCTCGAATGGCCAGCAGGCTGAGTTGCGCTCACCGTTTCTCTGAAATTAGGAACGTATATGTACGAGCGAAAGGCTGCTTCGTTTGCATCGATGTTGTAGTTTGCAGTCGGATATTGCATATAGGCACGTCGCTTCGCACACTTCGTGCCTTTATCATCCGTTTCGCTGTC